AGACAGAAACCTTCCCACTGCTCATTCCTCTTGGGAATGCTAATGTCAGAACCAAACGAATGACTGCACAGGCTCCCAAAGCTTCCAAACCTTGGGAAAGAATGGCCTCTTCCTTTACTCAGAAGTTCTCAGAGCTGCCAATGGATGAAAATAGATGCTAAGCAAAGAGCAGGGGTTTGAGCTAGCAGCCTCAACGTTCCAGTTCAACCAGCCAAAAATGCCCTGTTACACATATATTTGCCAAGAAAAGGCCCGGAAGGGTTTACACCAAGTTAGTCAACAGTGGTTATCTTTTAGTATTCTGGGCGTTTTTCCTTTTCTTTTTTCTTCTTTGTGAATTTTCCTCAATGAACAGGATTTGTTGAGGCAAAAAAACAACAACAAACACACACAAAACCATACCATTTTTTCAGTTAGAGATGAAATATTTAAGTAGAAATACATTACCGAGGACCATTTTCTTAAAGAACAAACCAAGAGTAATTTCTGACAAATATGCCCAGTCATCTGGCCTCTAATTCTGCCCTCAATGCCAACCCTCCTCCTGTCCCATCGTTACTTACATTCTTGGAGACATTCTGTGTCTGTGCAGTAGGACTGGGACTGCCTCAACTACAATGAATAAGAAGAAAGGAAAGTTAGCCATTGGACTTCACCAAAAATGGATACTATTCATTAGAATGGTCATGTTTTGTTATTTAATGAATGCTACCACAGTGTATATCGTATCTTCAAAATCAGATATAAATGCAGAACACATTGAGGGGCTGTTCTGTTTTGGGGGATTTTTCCTACTTAATTTTCAAATATACTGTGATCTACCACAATTCACCTATTTAAGTTAAGGAATTAGAAAATGCACACCTATGACAGGAACTCCTGCTCCCATATGTCATTAGACTTCCCAAAGAGTTACAGGAGAGGAGGGGGTCTTATTTCCCCTGGTTGTCACTGAGGGTGGGATTCTTACGATTTCCTGAGAAAAGGAATTTTTTGAGACTCTCACAAGAGAATGAAATGATTTTTATTTGTGCAGAATTAAATTTCTGAGTTTCCCTGTCATGTGGTACTAGTCCACAGTAACTAAATTTTACTTCAATGTTCATTTAAATTGAGTTTGCTTCACCTTAAAAAATTTTAACCCCACTCCAAAACAAAAACAACAACAACAAAAACACACATAAATGAGAAAGAATGAATTCATGGCCTCAGGAGGTCTGATTAAATGGTTATATTTAAAACTTGGTTACCCATAGATGCAACATTTTACTTTTATGGACTAGATTCAGGAAAGGGGGGAAAAGTCCTGCCTGTTTGTGCAAATAAATCTGCTCAAAATTATCACTAATATTTTCTTAAACCAAACTCCCAAACCAACAACAAAAAAGTTCTTTCAAATCAATGAATAATAGTCCCAGTCAATGTCCTCTCTGACCAGACCTCACACAGCTCACAGTCATAACGTTGGTATGAAAATATCTGAGTGTAAGACTCGTATGGCTTTCCTCAAACATACATACAGAAAAGTATCCATTTATCTGACAAATATACTTTTTAAATTTTTTAAAAGTTGATTTGAGAGAGAGAGAGAGAGAAGGGAGAGAGACATCAACTTGTTGTTCCACTTATTTATGCATTCATTGGTTGATTCTCGTATGTGTTCTAAATAGTCATTGAACCCGCAACCTTGGTGCATTAGACAACACTCTAACCAACTAAGCTACCCAGCCAAGGCCTATCTGAAAAAAACTTAACAAGTACCTTCTATGTGCATTTTGTTAAAATAAGGTTTTTAAATTTTAAAAGTCTATTTGCTATTTGTTTTCAAATTCCTCAGGAATTCATGTCAACTTTATTTGCAACAACTCAATTCACTGCCAGCTTAAAATCAAGCTATTTTTGAAAATGAAGATGGAAAATAGATGTGCCCAGTTTAAAATATTCTAAATCAAGCATGTCAAACTCACAGCACAAATATTTTTGTGGCCCAGCCAATATAATAGTATGTAAGAAACATTTCAATAAAAATTTTGTAGCTTAATTTTTATAATATTCTGAAATACATAATACTATCTAATAAAAGACAAAAGGGTAATTAACTGTACCTCCGCTATGCTTCCCATTGGCTAATCAGCAAGATATGCAAATTAACTGCCAACAAAGATGGCGGCCAGCAGCCAGGCAGCTGAAGCAAGCAGGAGGCTTGCTTGCTCCAGTGATGAAGGAAGCCATGGGTCCCTGCCTGCCGCAGCCCGGCTCTAAGCTCTGAAAGCAACAGTTCCAAAAGCAACAAAATTTCAATTATAGAAGCTAAACAAACCCCAGATACCTGCTTTCAGCCAGCCATGGCCTCAGAGCAGGGAGCGCCAGTGAAGGCAACAGTGTTTCAATTATAGAAGGTAAATAAATCCCAGAATTAAAAAAAAAAAAAAGAAAACAAGGAGAGGCTAGGAGCTTCAGTCGCCCGCCAGCCTGAAAACAGCCCTCAGCCCCTCACCCAGACTGGCCTGGCACCCCAGTGGGGACCCCCACCCTAAGAGGGGTGCAGGCAGACTGAAAACAGCCATCAGCCCCTCATCCAGGCTGGCCAGGCACCCCAGTGGGGACCCCCAACCTGAAGGGGGTGTGACCAGCTGCAAACAGCCATCAGCCCTTC